CTACACAATGCATGCATTTAGGAAAAAGAAAAACAGATAATGGGCATGTATGAGACTCAGTGTGACCACTGGAGAGATGGTTACAAAAATATATTACTGGCTTGTCATCTTTTAATAGCCAGGCTGGAACTTACTACAACATCAATGAACTGCAGCCAAATAGCTAACATAGCAGGTATGGTATGCCACTGGCAGCATCCAAACTGCTTCCCATTAAATGTATGTTCTCTGAAAAGATCAAATAGTATTAACAAAAATACTAATAACACATATCTTGAATTCAAATCTCTTCAGAAAATATAGCTGCATCAAGAGATAGGTAGAATCTTGTCTGTCATAGGGCCAGTAACTAATTAGCATGCTGCAATAAAAGTACAGAAGGGTAAAGCTCACACAGTAATGAATGTAACCTCATTCAGATTCCAATAACATGTTTAAACTGAAATTGCTGTACAGTATATAAAGCAGAAGATACCCTACCTGCACACTTTGTTCTTGTCGTGAGCGGAGGCCCAGGGGGTCCGGTCCCTCCTTCACCAGGACGGGTAAGAAGCACTCTGATCTCATATTCCACATCTGGGTCCAGGTGCCACAGCTTGTAATTGGGGGAGTCTACAATGTGAGTTTCTGCCCAATTCCCAGTTGTTGTACGGTACTCCACTTCCTTCAATATTATAGGCCCATCACCAATAATGGAATTGGCATTTGGTTTGATCCACAAGTAGGTGGCACCGACAGCCAGCAGTTCAGGGGGAGCAATGGGTGTTGGAGGTTCTGCAAACAATAAAAGTGATAAGAAGTCTGTGAAAATATTGGTAAAAGAGCTTAATTTGCTGGGACTATGACACACAACACAATCAGCAGCAAGACTAGCCCAAAGTTTGCTCTGTTAGACAAGCAAAGCTCCTACAGACTTAACCAGACAATATTTTTACATTAGAGTTGTATCCACGTAACTGAACAGAGTTTGGCGCAATATTTTTTATTTCTAAACAGGGGCTGGAATGGACTTGAGAGGGCACAATGTTCAAGCATAAATATTCAAAATAAGCCATAACCATTTAGAAATAGCCATCACTAAATCCAGTGTATATACTAGCACATTACCATTCATACAAAAATCAAGTATTTTATCCTCACTCATCTCCCTAGTAGTGATTACCACAAGGTGATTTTTATTTAAAATAAGGATCAGTCATCACTTTTAAAAGGTCAGCATTGCTCCCACAGCTGTTTCCTGTTCAATGAGTAGCAGATAATGGAATGAGTCAAATTTACTGTGTAGCTGTAACTAAAGAATATCTTATTATACGTAACCATCGAGTCCAAAACACCACTATTATAAACAGCCTCTAATTGTAATACAGGACACATTTTCAGACCCAGTATGCCTAAAAATATACTTGAAAATATATTTGGACTCTAAAGGCATCTCTGGTTGTTCAGGGACATCACAGGTAGAATGACAGTAAAGTTTATTCTAACATGAGTTTTGGCTACAAGTGGAATGAAGAGAGGAAACTCTAGGGCATCAGTGAATTAACAGACCTCATGGTGCTGAATAGTAAAGTTTGCTTAACTTGCAAGCAGTGGTACTAAGCAAAGTCTGTGAGAGACATGAACACTGCCTAGGAGATGTCTGAGAAGCATCATCAGGAGGCAGGAACCAGGGAACTGAATATACCTCTGTGATAAAAAAGAGAGCAAGCCAATAAAAGACAGCTCTGTATTGCCCTTTGATGCAAATCTACAAAAAGTCTACAGGGGTCTGGCTGCCTGCCTGACTTTTCTGTACTGTTGGTATATAGATAGCACTTGCATACTGGAAGCCTCATGAATACCGTATGCCTCGTAGTTTTGAAAGCCTCTGTGCAAGATTATGAGCACCGTCTTTAATCTCACCTAGTTTTTCCCCGCCTTCTAATTTGGTTTGCCCTCAACCCTAAGGACACAAAGTTCTCTTTTCTTTCAAAATTAAGATGACAAATACAAGAGATATCTTTTACATAAAGGGAAAAAAAAACCCTCCGAAGTCAGTGACTTGGAACAGAACACGTTCTAGAAACAGACTTTCATAGGAGTTAATCTAAAACCCCTATGGAACTTAAAAGAATTACAAGTTTTCCTCCTGTGATTAATCAAAGGAATGCATGCCGTAGTAGCAAAATCTAAGAGATATGCAAAGATGTGGGCAATATGAAAGAGAACAGCAAGGCAAGGTTGGGAGCAGTTTCCCTATCTCTGAACCCCTGCAGGCGAGATGATGCTCCAGTTGTCCTCAGGAAGCCCATTAGTCACCCACACCCATCTAAAACTTAGGAAGCATGTATTAGGGGCTTGAGAGATACCCAATATTTCAGGAGACACTGCAATTCTTCACTTGCAAGTCTCTAGATGGAAAACATTTCTGACTGCTAAGCTTTCCTTGCCAAGAAATGTTGTACTCTAATTTTGTACAGTTCCAGAAATTTGCTCAAAAAGTTACAAATTAGGTTTCCAGCAGATCACATGATACACAATACTACATTTACTGGAACTGATGTTTTCTAGAGATGTAACTAAAGTGTTAATTTTTGAAATATCATGTCAACTGCAAGGTGGAATTGGACTCAATTAGAGGAACCCATTAAATATATTTGCCTTTACCTCCTCCTCTTCCCCGCAATTTGCTTATGTATACTTTTTTCCCAATTTATAATGAAAATTTTAACATAAATTCAGGAACTGCTTGCCCTGTTCACTTAAATTTTGGCAGAATAAGTTTACTTCTGTTTCAGTTTAATTATCTGTTTGCAGGCTGCTTTTTATTTTCCTCCCTATATTTTCAGGGTGGGGCAGGGTTCTGTGTATGGCAGAATAAGATATAGTTAGATTTCAAAAGAAAGCCAGCTCTTGAAAATTGTTTAAAATGTTTCCATCTGGCTCAAAAATGCCACAAACCCTTTAAGATTTTGGGGCTGGGGAGGGGGGAGGGAGGGAGGGAGGAGGGAGAGAAGAAGAGGGGTGGAAATTAACAGAAGGACCACCACTACAACTGTCCAAGTCCCATGCAAAAACTCGGTCAAGCATAAAAGTCTAGCTGAGTATGTTAAGGACATGTCTCCAACAACAACAACAAATTCCAGAATATTCAGCCATTGGTAGATATATGCATACTAAATATCTGAACATCAAAACAATTTAAAATTTATTTTTTTTATTGCATTACAGAATTAAAAGATAGACTTGGCGATTTGTATTTTTCAGTGCAAAGAAGTGACAGCTGACCAATCACATTACATCCCAACATATGATAGCATGGACTATTGAGCCCCAGACTGGGGTTTTAGATTTAGTGAGACAAATAGGATACAAGTTACTTTAGAAAAATGGGTTAGAAAAATGATTTATGGAACAGGTAAAGAAGTATAAATGCACAATGTGCATATCAAACTATGAACTCCCTGTTTTGTGAACCTTTTTTTTTTGTCTAGACTGTACATCACAATCATAAGTTTGGTATATGACCTTCATATTGTATTAAATCCCCCTTCTAGAAGAGGCCTGGCAGCTAGTGAAAGAGCGGTCTACCAAACAATGACAGAGTAATCAAGGACTGAATGACTCTCCTACAGGAGCAATGGATTTTCTACTTTTGATCCACAGATTCCAAACGATGCTAGCTAAGCTGGAAGTAGCTGGTGTGTGTTTTTCAAAGAAAAGGAGAAACCAGTGACTGTTTTCTTGCAGACCAGGCTGAAGAGAGAGGAGACAGGAAGGGCTGGACTAAAACATTTAGGAATTGCATTCTGGATTTTGTTGTTTATGCATGTAACCTGTTTTTTTAAGAATAAAGTGTCTCTATATGAGAAACTATTTTGCTGAGCTAATGTTCCTTGTGTGCTCATCATGGGCTAAAATAGAATATAAAAATCACCCACCCAAAGGTGGGTGCTGAAAGTTCTTATTTAAGCAACTAGGTTTAGTGCGCTGAAGTCCTGCATCCTGTCAGGTGCCAGGTGTGGAAGACACTTGTGAGAAATCTAGTCCTAGGTACAGTGATCAGCCACTGCCCAGGCCTAGGGGGTTTAAAAGCATGTGGGAATCCAATGGTTAGGTCCACTTACAGACTGATGTCTGTGCAGAGAGGGAGGTTGGGCCAGACTGTGATAAATGTCACACACTGTCATGTGGCAGCTCAAACTATTTTAGTTCATATGAGTAGTTGTATTTTGAACCATTATGAAAACTGCTAGTCAAAGTACAGGAGAGAACACTACAAAACATGGAGGAAGCCTGCTGGCTACTGCTTCTCTGTGTTGTGTTACTGCTTATTGCAGTGTGATTCTATGGCGCTTTACATCACATTTAGAAATGAAAGTAAACTGCTATGTTCTTGGAAAGGTATCTTGATCTTGGGCCTTACCTATACCAATGTACATGGTAGCTAGATTCTTTCCACTTTTTTCCTTTTAAAATCATTAAAGGACAACATACAAAACAAAGACATGTTTCCCTTTAAGAGGATTAGAAAAAAAAGATACTGTTGTTAAACATATAAATATTGTACAATTAAAGGGGAAACCCCCCCCTCAAACCAGCCACAAAGCACTTCCACAAACCTTTTCAACTAAGGATATTGAATACTATACTTAAGTGGTTTTCATTATTTTAATTTAGAAATGGGGAAACTGAGGCATAGGATATTTAACCAAATCTCCAAAGTCGCAAAGGATGCTCCTGGTAGACCTGTGAATGCCAACCCATCTCTCTCACCTCACAAAATAGTACTTTAGTCAGATACTGTTTTAATGGGTATTGGGACACATACCTCTATATCTAATATGGAGCTAATTCTGCTGTGGAACGGACACACACAACTCACAAATACAGGGTGATCTAGTCCCACTTATTTATATAGGGTTTAAAAGTAAAAGTAATTGTTTTGCAGGCTAAATATCCTCTTAAAATCCTGCAATGGGCCAGCTCAAATAATGAAATTCCTTGAGGACTAGCAAAACTGGAAATGAATGGAGTCAATAACAACCTAAAAAAATGTAAGGATCAGAACAGGGACAGAGAAACAAAAGCTAAGGACAAACTCAAGAAATAATTGAAAATAGACCTCATCCACATGTGAAGCTAAGAGGAGAAAGATTGAAATTATGAACATTTGAAAATCAGCAGCCAAAAGAGACAATAATAAGACAATGCAACCAGCCCATGTAGTATCAGGGCTGCTGAACTACCAGAACAATGAATTATTGAAGAGGATAGGGCATTGCAGAGGCTAAATTATTTTGTTGTAACAGCCTAAACCACAGCATGTTTGGGAAAGATACCTACCCTGAACCTGTTCTCTTTTAGATAGAAAGATATGTCCTGTCAGAAATTGAAATGTTAAAAAGGCATTGTTGGGGCAAACTGATAAGTTTAATAGAAACAAGTCTTTACAACTAGACAGTGTCCATGTAAGTATTCTACAGGAAATTTAAAATCAAGTAGCTGAGCTCCTGACCAAAATATGCAGTTTCACTGCCATAATAATTACTACATGGAAAGACAGAAAATCTTTAAAGAGCTGCTGGGTAATCCTATGAACAATAGATGAGTAAACTTTAAATTTATAAGACGCTGGGAAAATTGATTAGATAGAATAATGTCCCATGCTGAGAATCTGTATGTCAAATTTTCCCTAATCAATGGATTTTATAATGGAAATGCAGGCCAGACCCATAGCTACAGCAACATTATCTTAGCAGGGACCACTTCTCTATATGTGTGTCTTCAATTTTAGCAGCTTTAATCCAACATACCTGCACTATCTAAAGCACCTGTCAGTGCTGTGAACACTGAGATGAGCTTACAACAGCCTGTGATTGCTCAAAAAATTACAGAGTTGTGGAACTGAGAATGAATTTCCCTGTAGGCAGCAGGATATAGAATGAAGGATCAAACATGGTGAAAAATACTTGCAAGTTAGTACTGAGACTCATGTAATAGGCTGTGAACACAGACTGGTGGTAGATATCAAATCTATTTCACCCCTAATTTAACTAGAAACTTAATCCAAGAACGTGATTCTCGGTTATACCAACTAAGCCCCATACTTAAATCCCTCAAGCAGTCACTGATCTAAGACATGAAAGCTCTTTCATTAGAATAAGTAAGTTTGTATTTAAATATTTAAGATGATATCACTTCCGTTAGTTTGTCTCTAGTCCCTATCTTTTATTGGGTGTACACTTTAAATGTTCCAGAATTTGAAAAGATCCTTTTCCCTGACCTATTTGGATTGTAAGGTGTTTGAGACAGTTTGTATGGGTATGAACAGTGCCCAACATAATGAGGTCTTGGGCTTGGTTGAGGAATTAAATTCCACCATGATACAATTAGTAATTTCAGGTATTGCCCTTCAACTTTGTACACATGTATGATGTAGCAATTTGTTCCAAGAAGCAGACAGTATATGCTTGACCTGATTAAAAGCTTTTACTTCCACTCTTCTTAAGTGGAACACAAAGGATTATAAGCTATAGGATTCGCCCATATATACATTTTCCCTAGCACATAGTAAACCTTTTTGAACAGAAATTTGATTTCCCAGGTGGATGACCAAAGTGCAAATTGTGACCAACTCTTGAAGAGATTTTACTATCTACTCTGGGAGCATAAGTGCCCCCAGTACAGGAACTGGATAGTCCTCCAAAAGTGAACAGAAGTCTCCCTATTATAACTGGGTTGCTTATATGCTCAGAGCAGGTAATCAAATTGCTCCTACATAACAGCCAAATAGCTCTAAATTGGTCACCAGCTGAATTTTGATTGTCTGATAGATGAAATACAATTCTGTCCTATATGTCTGTACTGGAAGAGACTTTAAGGGTATTTTTATACCACATAATGTGAAGAAGGGTAAATTAGCTCACACAGAGCAGTGTTATCAGAGCTAAACTGGCACCGGTATCTGAGTTACCTTGTTTAGTAGTTCCTCAGGTATCTCCATACTACACGTAGGAATACTCTACAATTAACAATCATTTACATTAATAATTGTTCCATTTGCTTTTACTTTTTTGTCAAAATATGAAAAAAGAGAGAACGCCTATTTCATGAATTGGGAGATATGACGAAAAAAAAAAGTTTCTTCTTGCAAGAAGGCAGATCATAATTCCCCTACTATGGATTCCTGAATACAAATATACGCTATTAAGCCCTCCCCAAACACCTGTTTCAACATAAATTACCTTTCCTGAACTATGGGATTCCAATGGTGAGTTCTCAGTCAACAGCCCTGTTTTACATACTGAGAGAATTCAAGCTTTAACACCAATCTTATATGTGCTTTGTATGCATCTCCAGAAACAACACAGTGTAAAATCTGCAATGATCTTCTGCCAATCTTCTTCAGTCTGGTGCCCTAAATCTCACACGTATGGCCCTATAACATATATTCCTGGCTGTCTAGCAACCCAATTTCAACAGGAGGAGCAAAGAACACCCTTACAGAGTGTTTTCTAAACTCTGGTTGCTAGGACAGTCTCCTGGGAAATGGGAGATGTGGGATTAAATCCCCTCAAGGTAAGAATACCTCAAAAGCAGCTTTCCTACATTCTGGATGAGTGTTCTAACCACTAAGGGCATCTTTACATGTGCTCTGGGGGTAGTGGGACACTTTAATTAGAGTTGCTCCAAGAACCGCATTAATTAAAGCACTGGCAGCATCTTGTGTATTCAGCATCCTGAGCTTCAAAAGGACAGTAGGGGTGCTTTAACTAAGGCTCTTTCAACAAGATTTAAGGCACTCCCACTGCCATTATGAAGAGCAGGGATGCTGAATACGCAAGACACAGAGGCTACTGGAGCACACTAACTAGCATGCTACAGCAGACTCGATTAATCGGGTCTTCTCTAATGCACTGTAATTACAGAGCATTAGAGCATTGTCTCCACACATCTACAGGAACCCTAAGCTATCAGAGAAAAGGCGCTACCATATTTGTGTTGAATTAAATGTTGTAAGTGGGAATGGAATTGCATAGCAATTGGTGGAAATATCCTGGAGAACTTAGACAAAGTTTAGGTGCCTCCCAGTAACACCATGAATCAGAGGCTTTGGGCAGGAATAACATCTAAAACATTTCAAAAAGGGAAGTATAGAGATGTTCAAGCTTGATAAAATGTGCCAAAGCCTGAAAAAAATGTACCTCAAGGCACCAGATACCATTTAATGCTGGTGCATTTTGGAAGGTGTGTGATATAGTAGGTTGGTTCTCCAGGCATCCCAAAATGCAGCATTACCCCCACATGGACTCCCAGCAACTTATGCTTTGCAAATACAGAAGCCAGGGTGGTAGGAGCCCATGGTGCCAGTAGCATTCACCAATTGTCTGTTCTGCTTTCCACATTAGGTTTGGAGGTGCGGCTAAAGGACTGAACAACTTCCTTTCAACTCTTCACTGTAGATCATCACTACTCCATACCAGCATGGCAACTTTGAAATTTGGAAGTGGAGGGCATTGGCAGAGCATGGCAGGGGGATGACAGGCACAGCTGTATGGCTGTCCTCAGCTGAAATGAATGAATATGAGCCACCGGTGTGATGCTGCAGTTAGCAGAGCAAACAATACGCTGGCATATATCAACTGATGCATCTCAAGCAAAACTAAGGAAGTTATCTTCTTGCTCTGCTCAGCATTGGTGAGGCCGCAACTGGAGGCCGCGTCCAGTTCTGGGCACCGCACTTCAAGAAGGATGTGGAGAAGCTTGAGAGAGTCCAGAGAAGAGCCACTCACATGATTAGAGGCCTGAAGAGCAAGCCATACAAGGGAAGACTGACAGATATGGGACTGTTCAGCCTACAAAAAAAAAAAGACGTTGGGGGAATTTGGTGGCAGCTTACAAATACATCAGGGGAGAGCATCAGGGGCTTGGTGAACAACTATTTACCAAAGTGCCCCAGGGGAAAACCAGGAGTAATGCTCATAAGTTCCTAGAAGAAGGTTTCAGACCTGATATAAGGAAAAACTTCTTCATGGTTTACATGACCAGACTCTGGAATAGACTCCCAGTGGGGGGTGGTGCATGCACCTACCCTGGAGATCTTGAAAAGGAGACTGGATGCACACCTTGCTGAGGTTATTTGACCCCCAGCAGTCTTTCCTGCCCAGAGCAGAGGGGCTGGGCCCGATGAGCTCATGAGGTTCCTTCCAGCCTTAAGATTCTGTAAATCTGTGAAACACTATTATTTTAAACATTTTAAAGCCTACTATAGTTTGAAACATTTCAAATGTTACATCTGTCCTTACTCACAATGGAGCTTAAGCAGCAATGAGGTACACTGTCCCGTGTGCTTCTCAGCCTCCTCTGAAGGCATTGGTAGACACCTAAGAAACTTTGTAGTCCAAAAGAGGCACGCAATGATTTTTGTGGTTTTTGTCAC